TTTTTTTCTGGGCCCCCCCCCCCCCCCAAAATCCCCTCACGGGACCTCCCCATTGCCGGGATCCCCTAAATTCCCTCACGGGACCCTCCTCCCCCACCCTGTTATTGCCTCACAAGTCACCCCCGCTGTTCCCGGGACCCCCAAATTCCCTCACAAAACCCTCTCTCCCTTTCCGGGACCCCCAAACCCGCCGTGCCCGCCGTACACGTGACTGGGAGCCTGTGAGGGGAGCGGGGGGGGGGACACGTGAGTCGGGGGTCACGTGGGGTCACACACACACTGAGCCACACCCACCTCAGAATGGGGACCCCCGAAATTGGGGTTGGGGTCTGGACCCCCCAATAGCCCTAAATCTGGGTCTGGGACCCCCCGAAATTGGGGTGTGGACCCTCCCCGATACCCCGAAATTGGGTCTGGACCCCCCAATTTCCCTAAATTTGGGTCTGGGACCCCCCGAAATTGGGGGGTGGTCCAATGGTGGTCCCTAAACTGGGGTCTGGACCCCCCCCAGTATCCCTAAATGGGGGCCTGGGGACCCTCCCAATACCCCCCAAATTGGGGTGTGAGGAACCCCCCGAAATTGGGGTCTGGGGATCCCCCCAGAACTGGAGTCTGGACCCCCCCAATATCCCAAAATTGGGGTCTGGACACTCCCCCCCCCCGTATCCCTAAATTGGGGTCTGGGGGTCCCCCAAAATTGGGGTCTGGACCCCTCTGATACCCCAAAATCACAGTCGTGGATCCCCTAAAACACTCAGGCTGTGCATGTGGAGACCCCTGACCCCCAAATCAGGGTCTGGGACCCCCCAAATCGGGGTCTGGGACCCCCATAACCCCCCTGCCCAGGTCCCTAGAGCCCCCTCAGGACCCCCAGAGCCCCCCCACGCCCCCCAGAGCCCCGTGCCCACCTTGGGCCGGGCACAGGGGCACTGGAACAGGTGAACCTTGCACAACCAGGACCCTCCTGGCCCCCAATTCAGGGTCTGGGACCCCCAAATCGGGGTTTGGGACCCCCAAATCAGAGTCTAGGACCCTTCCCCAGCCCCCCAGAGCCCCCCCAGAGCCCCGTGCCCACCTTGGGCCGGGCACAGGGGTACTGGAACAGGTGAACTTTGCACAACCAGTACCCTCCTGCCCCCCAAATCAGGGTCTGGGACCCCCAAGTTGGGGTTTGGGACCCCCAAATCAGAGTCTAGGACCCTTCCCCAGCCCCCCAGAGCCCCCCCAGAGCCCCGTGCCCACCTTGGGCCGGGCACAGGGGTACTGGAACAGGTGAACCTTGCACAACCAGGACTCCCAATCCCCAAACTGGAGTCTGGGACCCCCAAATCGGGGTCTGGGACCCCCATAACCCCCCTGCCCAGCCCCCCAGAGCCCCCCCACGCCCCCCAGAGCCCCGTGCCCACCTTGGGCCGGGCACAGGGGTACTGGAACAGGTGAACCTTGCAGAAGTCGTCGGCCACGGCCACCACGCGCTCGTGGTGCGAGCGGCACAGCGAGTTGATGTCGGTGCCGTCGGAGCCGTCCGGCCACACCCCTGCCGCACGGGGTGGGGGGGTCAGGGGGACCCCCGGGACCCCCCCGGGCACCCCCCCGAGCCCCCAGACCCACCGAAGACGTGGAAGCCCAGCACGCAGGTGTAGGAGGCCCACTCCCGGTCGCGGCTCTCGAAGCGGTTCCGCAGCAGCTTGCAGCCCCCGGCCACGTCCCCTGCAGGGGGAGAGACCCCGAAATTTGGGGCTGGGGGAGGGGAGAGCCGCACCCCAAAATGTGAGGGGTGGGGGAGTGAAATCCCTTCAAAAGTTGGGTTGGCGGGGGCAGAGAAATTGTTTCAAAATTTGGCTGGGGAGAAGTGAAATCACTTTAAAATTTGAGGAGGGGCAGAGAAAATGAGACCCCTCCCCAAAAATCTGGGGAGGAGGGATCAGGAAGACCCCAAAATATGGGGGGTCCCAGTGGGGTAAGGAGGTCCTGGCAGGGTCAGGGGGGTCCTGGCAGGGTCAGAGGGGTCCTGGCAGGGTCAGAGGGGCCCGGGGGGGGTCCGCGAAGGGGGGGTTTGGGGGGGGTCCCACACATGGGAGGGGACAGGGGGTCAGGGGTCCCACACATTGTGGGGGTTTGGGGGGGGTCAGGGACAGTTTGGGGACAGGTCAGGGGCAGTTTGGGGACAGTTGAGGACAGTTTGGGGACAGGGAGGGATCAGGGACGGGTCAGGGGCAGTTTGGGGACAGGGAGGGATCAGGGACAGGTCAGGGGCAGTTTGGGGACACATCAGGGGCACTTTGGGGACAGGTCAGGGGCAGTTTGGGGACAGGGAGGGATCAGGACAGTCTGGGGACACATCAGGGGCACTTTGGGAACAGTTCAAGGACACTTTGGGGACAGGTCAGGGGCACTCTGGGGACACTCTGGGGTCACTCTGGGGACACTCTGGCTGGGACAGGTCAGGGGCAGTTTGGGGACAGGGAGGGATCAGGACAGTCTGGGGACACATCAGGGGCACTTTGGGAACAGTTCAAGGACACTTTGGGGACAGGTCAGGGGCACTCTGGGGACACTCTGGGGTCACTCTGGGGACACTCTGGCTGGCAGGGGACACGCAGGCTCACCCGGTGAGAAGCGAACCACCGAGAGCTGCTCGTTCCCGTCCGAGCCCCCGGCCAGCAGCTGCCGCGTGCCCGTGTCCAGCACCAGCCACCTGCGGGACACCGGGGACAGGGGGACACAGGGGGACACAGGGGGGACACGGGGACACCGGGGGGACACGGGGACACCGGGGGGACAGGGGGACCATGGGCACTGTCCCCCTGTCTCCATGTCCCCATCTCCCTGTGTCCCCTGTTCCCCCCATGTCCCCTAATGTCCCCGTGTCCCCCCCGCGTCTCCGTGTCCCTGTGTCCTTGTCACTCACCTCCCGGTCAGCAGCCCCACGGCCACCACGTGTCCCTGTGTCCCCTAATGTCCCCTCCATGTCCCTGTGTCCCTCCCATGTCCCC